TGCATCTCAATTTAGAGGGGTTTGGCTGGTGTTGGCTGTTGTCCATTGTCTATCAGGTGGTATAAAAACTTTTATTGGCTGTTGCCCAGTGGGTGGGGCTGCAGAGGGTATGGTTGTGGCTGGGCTTTATGGGCATGGTTGCTGTCTCCTGCTGGGTGGGAAAGAGGAGAAATTGTAGCCTCCCCCACCCCTTTCCTCACACACACCAAGAAGCAAAACAGAATAAACAAGCAACCTAGGAACAATGAAAATAGAATATAGTAAAGGAGAAAAAATAATTCAAGACAGGCAGGGAGCAGAAAAAAGGAAAATAGCTAAAAAGAGAAAAACGGGACAGGGAAATGGAGCTTTAGAAGAGAAAATAAAAGGAAGAAATAAAAATAGCCCTTATTAAAACCAGGGAGAGGGCAGAGGAAAAGAACCAGAGAGTAGAGACTATTAAAGAAAGATCAAAAAGACGACAGGGGAATTGAGACACGGAAGAAAAGAAGGAAAAACAAAAGCAGAGATAGGATCAAATTCAAGGGAGTGGAAAGAGAAGAAGAAGAAGGAGGAGAAAAAATTAACAAACAAAAGCAATGAAAGAGCAAAGGAAAAAACCAAACCCCCCAAAAAAACGGAAACAAAAAAACAGTGCAGCTTTTGGACACAGAGAGGAGAAAATTCTGGGGGACTCATGTCAGCCAGTGATCTCATGTGAGCGTGGGAAGGATGTGGTAGCAGAGTTCCTGGCCCTAGAAGGAGTTCTTACTGACCTTGGAATTACCCATGTTTAGGGCACTCAATCCAGAAGTAATTTATGGAGCCTGCTGGTATCAGAGCTAATTTCAGTATCTGTTAGTTATCGCAGGACAACTAGGGGCAGGGTGACTGGTTAATGTTGATCTGGAGGCTCCACAGGTTCTGTAGGTACTTAGCCAAGCTCACCTGAATTCAGGCACCAAAACAACTCACCAAAACTGGGAATCCACCTCACACTGGCGTGGCTCCCAACTCCCAGAGAGCAGGGACTGTGTTGGGGGTTGATGAGTGTGGGAACTGGCCACACCTCTGGTCACAGGGGGGGAGTATGGGGGGAAAAAGAAATTGCACCTTTCCAGTCACCTATATGACTCTGCTCTACCAGACTACTTTCTGTTGTCAGAGCTGCTCACAAAGGTTCAAGATGGTCCCGGGGCATCTGGCCAGCTGTTCCCCAGTTTGCCTCCTGTGGTCCCTGTGCTGCTTCTCTTTCCAGCAAGCACTCAATCCACTTCTCTGACCTTTCTTCTGAAGTTTAGGCTTTCAGGATTTCCCTCTGTGTCTGTTTCATTTGGTCTCGTGTATCTTTGTTTTAGAGGGTCCATGTAGTGTGTCTGCCTAGTTCATCATCTTACTGGAAATATATTTTCTCACTGTTTAGGAAGATCACATCAGAACTTGGCTGAGGGCAATGGGCACCCACTTCCACTTCCAGTTTCTGGGACGCTCACAGTGTAGATTTGTGTTTTAAAACAAGTATTTAAGTTTTGCTCAGTCTTTATGAAAAGGCAAGAAACTCAGGCTCCTCCAGGTTTCTTATCTTTTCTTAAAGGAAAATAAACTCCAGTCTTGATGACCACAAAATATGGCTTAGGAAAAAAACCAAAATGGCAAATACAAGGGGATTTCAAAAAGTTCATGGAAAAATGGAATTAAAAGATAATGGAATTTGTATATAAGCCTTTTGAAGCCCCATCATACACTTGATGAACATCATACACACACAAAAAGCATTATTACAAATTAATAGTTCCAGTAGTGTCTGAAAAGAAAAGATGAAAGCTGTCTCCCCACTGCACCCCAATCCCTGAAGTCTACTGCTGTCCACTGGTTTCTGACACATAGTGACCCCATACTACAGAGTGGAACTTCCTCATAGGGTTTCCAAGACTGTAAATCTTTATGGAAGCAGACTGCCACATCTTTCTCTCCTGAAGTGGCTGATGGGTTTGAACTGCCAGCCTTTTGGTTTGCAACCCTGTACCACCAGGCCTCCTTACTTCCTAACAGTACTACTATTAACAGTCTGTAGCAGTACTTTCCAATATGGCAGCCAGTAGCCACATGGCTGGAATCCTGGCGTGACAATAATGCACTGGACCATAAGGTCAGCTGTTCAGACCTCACCAGTCACTCCTCAGAAACCCTAGACAGGGTCACTATGAGTCAGAACTAACTCGACGGCATATAACAACAGCAACAAAAGCCATATGGCTACTTACATTTAAAATTAAATTCATAAAAATGAAATACAGTAGAAGATTCAGTTCCTCATCACAGTAGTCACATGTGTCTAGTGGCTTCTGCTTTGACAGCACAGTTAGAGATGTGCCCATTATCATAGCATGCCCCTCTCAGTCTTTGCCTATGTTTTGTTGTTGTCATTAAGTGCCATAGAATTGCTTCCGACTCATAGCAACCTTGGATAGGGTATCCAAGGAGCAGCTCGTGGGTTTGAACTGCTAACCCTGTGCTTCCCAGTCCAGTGCTGATCCTATAGTGCCACACTAGGCGTCCATGTTTACAGTTATATATGTGTTATCTATATTTACACTCATATATGTTTGTTTGTTTTTTCAGAATCCTTTTATGTTATACCTACTATAATTGTACAACTATTTTTCTCATGTAAACTATTTGTTCATTTGTTTATTAGGTTGTATTTGTTGTTCATGTATTTTTGTGCTTGGTCGTGGAGGTACCATGGTAAGCAAAATCAGATATGATTCCTGCCTCCCTGGTCCTTACTGTTGAGTGGGGATGATAGACTTTGATCAAAATACCATGCCATCCCCTTAGGGCAAACCTCCATCTAAGACTAAGATGCAATGGGAATACACGCCCTGATTGGTGACCACATTTGTCACTGATAAGGGGAAGTGAGGGAAAAACAGCAATGAAGCTGTGAGCTAAGCCCTACAACTCTCAATAGACTCCTGTGAACCTGGCTGGAGACCTGGTTGGCCAGCAGTGTGGCAAGACCTGGGGACTCTTGGGCCCAGAGTCAGTGACATAGCCACAGAGGACTAGAGTGGAGAGTGAAGCGTCCAACTGATAAGAAAAGAGCAGATAGACTCAAGAACACCCACACTTGACCTGGCTTCAATGACTGGATGATCAGAGCTCAACTAGAAGAAGAAAAGAGGAAAAAGAGTAATCTGATACAATTTGATGAACTTGACCTACACCTATGGATGCAGTATCTCAAAAGAGGGAACAAATCTTCACAGTGAGGATCATTCTCAACCCCTCCGTACATGGAGTGGACAGGGATGGGCAACTTGGGCACTGGCTACCCAGAATGGGGGCTACAGAGGCAAGAAGTGACTGGCTTACAAGCTTTCCAGAGGGAACCTAGATCCAGAGGGCCTGGAGGAAGGTAGAATCTCCACTGAATAGTATCCACTCTGCCTAGGAGGGGTTGATGGAAAGAGATGCAGATAGGTCTCTTGTGATACAATAGTGAATAATTGTTATCAGGACTGATTGTGAGGCTTGGAAATGTAAAGGGTTTTTTGGCAAAAAGAAGGGAGTGATTGACTTTGCAGAGGTCCCTGGGAACATCAAGGAAGAAGAGCAGAGAGTGGAACCCTACCCAGAGAAGTAATGACCCCAACGATGGTGGCAGAGATGATGACGTGGAGAGACGGAGTGGCTGGGGACTTTGAACCCAGAGAGGGAGAGGGGCTGTGTGCTGACGGCAAGGGTGTCCCTTTGCAGGGTATACCCTTTGGTTGGTTGATGATGCATGGAGGGGATTGTAACCATGGCAAGGAAATGATATATGATAGTTCTCCCATATAAACTATCATATAATTCACAATAAAGCATTTATATATATATATACCATGCCAATGAGTGTGAAATAGCAAACAGATAAGGTTTCTGAAACATGATGGTTGAACAGAGGAAGTTGGGAAGGCCTCTGATTTAAGCTGAGACCAGAGGTTGAATTACCAGGGGGTAGAGTGTTGTAAGCAGAGGGACCAGCCCATGTAAAGACTTATGATATCTAAGGAGTGTGGTTCACTTGCAGAGAGCATCAGAGAGATTTGATCTTCATCCTGACAGCAAGGACAAAGTATTTCCGCACCTGTACGGGAGATGTAGCTCTTTTTAACAACAACACAGTACAGCTGTACTATCATTTCTGTAACTCCTGTCCTGGTGATTTGGTTGGCCTTTTTTAATCATCCAGATTGCCTCATGCTGGGTTACCCTTTAGGTTCTTCTAAAGCAAGGTGTAGGGAACGTCTGGTCCACAAGTATATAAGGCCCTCAAAATCATTTGGTCTGACTCTGCCAAGGCAACTGCAGTTCCAGCCCTCACATTGTTGTTAAGTTCTGACTCATAGTGACCCTGTATAGGGTTTCTGAGGAGTGGCTGGTGAGTTTGAACCACTGACCTTGAAGTCGAGTGCTTATCCTAGGGCGCCACACTAGGACTCCAGCCATCGTATTGTTGTTGTAAGTGCCGTCCAATTGGTTCTGAGCCATAGCGACTCTGTGTAGGGTTCCTGAGGAGTGGCTGGTGGGTTTGAACTGCTGACCTTGCAGTTCAAACCCACCTTGAGGTCCAGCACACTCACCCACAGCACCACACCAGGACTCCTTTGTTGTTGAGGGGTGAGTTAATTAAAAGTTTGACCCAATATAGTAGGCTAATTTTAAAGTTGATAATTTTGTATGACTTGTGAGTAATGTTACAAATATCCATATTTTAAATGGCCCCTGGCAGAAAAAGATTCCCCACCCCTGTTTCTAAAGGGAGCAGTTAGCTAGGACCACACACCTGCTAGCAAAGTTAGAGCTGGTGCACAAGACAGAGATTTGTGAAATCTGTATTGTCACCAACCACTTTACCCAGGAATTCCTCTTTCAACAAACATTCACTGAGCGGTGGGGGCAGGTTTCTAGCATTCCTTGGACCCCTCCCCATGGTTACCTTTGTTTTCTTCTGCTTGTGCCTCTGGGTGCAGCCGTCTGACTTCAGGGATTTGCCGGAATGGGAGCCCAGAATCCGAGAGGCCTTCCGCACTGGCGACTTGGACTCTAAGCCTGACCCTAGCCGGAGCTTCAGGCCTTACCGAGCTGAAGACAATGATTCCTATGCCTCTGAGGTGGGCTTAGACCTAAGAAAGCTGGGGCCGGGGTGGGGGTAGGAGTGGGAGGGGTGGCTTAGGAGGAGAGTAACTGGGGTCTCCCAAAAGTAAGTGTGGTTAATGGAGAATGCTGGCAGTGATGTGAGTTGTGAGTATTCTGTTTGGTTCCAAACTTCCCGACAGGCAGGGCAAAAAGAGAAACAAGGAAGTTTAGGTCATTGTCTTGGCCTGATGAAAGGAAGCTTATAAATTCATCTAAAGAAATTGATTCTTGTTTTGCTACACTAAATGCCACTAGGAATTTTATGTCACTTAAGATGTCAGCTTGAGGACTAAGGTGAAATGACCCAACCCATGGTATTTTCAATAACCTCACGTGCATGCAAAAGCTGGACAGTGAATAAGGAAGACCATAGAAGAATTGATGCCTTTGAGGTATGGTGTTAAAGGAGAATATTGAAAGTACCACGGGCTGCCAAAAGAACCAATAGATCCGTTTTGGAAGACGTGCAGCCAGAGTGCTTCTTGGAGGCCAAGATGGCCACACTTCGTCTCTCATATTTTGGACATATTGTCAGGAGGGACCAGTCCCTGGAGGAGGATATCATGTTTGGTAAGGTGGAGGGTCAGAGAAAAAGAGGAAGACCCCCAACGAGATCCCCATCGATGGACTCAAGCGTGGCAACAGTATTGAGGTTGGCCCAGGATCAGGCAGTGTTTCGTTCTGCTGTACATAAGTTCGCAATGGGTCGGTACCGACTCGATGGCACCTAACAACAACAATGGAACCATTGATTTAGGTAGCAGAAGGCTGCTGTCTGTACAGTCATACTGTCTGGATTCAAATTGTGGGTCCACTCTCTGAGACACTGAATGAACCATATCACCGCTCTGATCCTCAGTTTCCGCACTTGGGAAAGGAAAGCTTTCCTTCCTAGGGTTGTTGAAAGAGTTAAATACACAAAAAGGCTAAGCTTAAGGTCTGATGCATGTTAGTTAAGTCAAGATGAGGGTGGTAATGACATTATTACCAAGACTCAAGGAAAATGAATTCTACTAGTGTGGCTTTGTGGACTTGAGCTCATTTCTGCTCTCCAGACACAGCTTCTCCATGTAGGAGTAGGGTGGTTGATGGCTGTAGAATCATCAGAATTCTTTGGTCCCTGGAGGATTCTGAGTGATTCTGAGCCCCTCATTAGCCTACTAAGCCCCTCCGCATTAATTTTTTTCATAATGAAATGACTCCAGTGGGCTGGGTGCGGCCTCCCTGATACTCCTAAACCATGGAGAGCACTATGTGTGCCCCAGCCTGAGCCCCTTTTTCTTCTGAGCATCCCTAGGAAAGCCAGGCTGCAACTGTGCAGGGCTCGAAAGTACCTTGGAGATGATAAATCAAACTCTCCTAGTGAGGTGGTCTGAGTTTCCTAACAGCTCAGTGGGGGAAAATCGTAAGATACTTAGTTCTCATTTTCTGAGAAAGAAAATAGGGCAGCTCATCTGTCAAGAAATTAATTTTCTGCTTACATCCCATTATTACTTCATTCAGCCATTCTTTATTGAGTATTTGTAACTTGCTCGGCACTGTGTTAAGCATAAAGCGCCCTGGTGTGGTGGGTTAAGCATTGGGCTGCTGTCCTCAATCAGTTTTTCTACCCCACTAGCCACTCTGCAGGAGGAAGATGAAACTCTCTGCTCTCACAAATAATGATTGACAGTCTTGGAAACCCTAAAGAGTAGTTCTCTATCCTATAGTGTCATTATGTCAGAATTAGCAAAAGTTTGATTTGTATTTGGATGTTAGTCATTGAGTTCAAGGAGGATATAAGAGGGAGCAGATAGTGCCCAGGAAAAAAAAAAATCTGTGATCTTTTTATTCTATTTTTCTACAAACTTTTTGAAACCCTCTTGTAGCTCAAGTCAGTGTGTCCTCAACTTGCCAGAGTTATAATGGTGTTAAGCCACTTGATGCATGTTTAGGAACCCTGATGGCACAACTGCTAAATGCTCAGATGCTAACCAAGAGGTTGGTGGTTGAAACACAACCTGTGGCTCTGTGGTAGAAAGACCTGGGAATCTGTTCCTGTAAAGATGACAGCCTAAAAAACCCAATGGGGAAGTTCTCCTCTGTCACCTGGGGATGCTGAGTTGGAATTGACTTGGTGTCACCTAACAAGGAACAAGAAGTATTTATTTTCTTTCATAAGGGACCCCTTGCCATGCCTAGGAAGGATTTGTAAAGGAGTTGGGGCTGATGGTTCCTTTATTTTTTCCTGCTTAATATGACAGTATAAAGAGTTTCTTCTGTTACTAAAATTACTTTTTAAAAAATGGTATTGAAGTGTAGCATACATATGGAGCTCTGGTAGCGTAGTGGTTACGAGTCGGGCTGCTAATCTCAAGGTCAGCAGTTTGAAACTACCAGCAGTTCCACTGGAGAAAGATGAGGCTTTCTGCTCCCATAAAGATTTGCAGCCTTGGAAACCCTGTACAGCGTTGCTGTGAGTCAAAACCGATTCCAGGACACATCACCACCACCACCACCACAACATACATACAGAAAAGTGCACAGATTGTGAGTACATAGCTCCATTGTGAAATACTTTCACATAATCAGATCCATAGACAGAGCATGACCTACCCCAAAAACTGACTCTCCTATCCCCTTCTAGTCACTATTTTGACTAATAGCAGTACAGATGAGTTTGGCCTGTTTTAGCTACAAATACTCTCAAAGACTGTTTTCTCTGTAAATTCAGGGTTTTATTGTCTTTTCCTTAAGAACTTACTTCATAGCCATTACAAATAACTACAACAAAACCCCTGAGCTGCATTGCGTAAATGTGGACAGAAGGAAATCAAGGTCACAAAGTCATCACAAAATACTGCTTATATTTTTTTGGTGTTTGTGTGTGTCTTTACAGGGCTTTGAACCAGTTCCTCTTGGTTCAGTAATGCCTGACGAAGCAAAGCCAGAATGGACCCAATTTGTAAAACAAGAGCCATAACCGGAACAGGAAAAATTATGGGTCTGTGCCCTATTAGAAATTCCATCTCCCTCTTAGCAACCAAGGGCAGTGTACGTGTTGCCTAGCAACTAAATCTCTAGACAGACTAAAGGAGAAACAACAGTGATTGGCTCAAAGATGGTGGCCGACTGTGTCTGGAGCTCTCCAGTCCTGGCAGTTAACTAATCTCCCAGATCAGGATCCAGAAAGGATTCACTACATCTTTTTGGAGTCTCCATTCCAGGGCTTTGACCTGTCATTTTTCCCATTCTGGCTATAGGCCCACTTCACCCTGATTTTTTAAAAATTCAGGTCTGTTCCAGTTTTGCTTCATCGACCATGACTAAACTGATTTCAACCTGTTAGAAGCTCTGGTCCTTTATACATTTTTTACTACTGAGGCATCCTTTTTTTTTTTTTTTTTTTAAGTCATGATGTTGTTGTTGTTTGTTGTTAAGTGCTGTTGAGTCGATTCCAATCCATAGCGACCCTGTATAGAGTTTCCAAGGAGCAGCTGGTGAGCTTGAACCACCAACCTTGCAGTTCAAACAACTTAGCAGTTGGATGCATTAGCCCACAGCGCCACACCAGGACTCCTTAAATCATGATAATGTATACATATAAAAACATTAGCCATTTCAGAGGGTTACTCATACATCTTTTTGCTTTCACTTTCTAATTGAAGTATAACTTTATATATCTAATTCCCAAGTGGATAGTTGAGTAGATTTTTTTTAACATATGTTTAGACTCTTTAAACTCATAATAATCTCATATAATTTTATTATCTAAGATGTTCCTAAATTTTTTCAACTAAATAATAGGGCAGTGAACATCTTTATAAATCAAACTTAGTTTTCACAATATATTTATTTCTTCAAGTGAATTTCAATGAGTGAAAATTTAAAGTTAAGATCATGACAATGACTAGCTTTTGATATGCATTGTTTCATTCAATTGCCATGACAGTCCCCTGAGTTTTAGGGACTGCCATAGTGCCTGTACTATACCTAAAGGGCCATTTGGCTGGCTGGGACATTCAGGTCTTGCTTACTCCTTGCTCCCCCATTACTTTCATTCTTTGTCCACAGCTTCTGTTTTCCTCCTCCTCCTCTGTCTCCCTCCTCATGATCTGTGTCTCCCATCCCTGTCTCAGATCAAGGAGCTGCAGCTGGTGCTGGCCGAGGCCCATGACAGCCTCCGGGGTCTGCAAGAGCAGCTCTCCCAGGAGCGGCAGCTGCGGAAGGAGGAGGCTGATAACTTCAATCAGAAAATGGTCCAGGTGGGTGGTGCCCAGTGCCTCCTCCTTGCACCTGCTCCAGTCTTTCCTCCCTGAACTGAAGGCGTCAGCCTCAAGGGTCCACAAGTGTTAAGAAGAAAATGACAAAGGGAAACCAAGTCTTCCAGCTCCTTTGTCCTGCTGCTGGGGTGTTATTTCACTTGTGATGTTAAATGAGCTCCAAGTCCTAGCCTGGTCGTTGACTGTCTGTGTGACCTTAGGCCAGTACTGTCCCCTCTCTGAGCGTCAGTTTCCCAGAAATGGGAGAGCATACTCAAAAGAGCTTCAGTTAAAATTGTTTCCCGTTTGAGCTGAAAGCCCACCAAACTGGCAGGCAATCTAGACAATGGTCCTAATGATACCAAACCCAAACACTTTGCTATGTGCTGATTCTAGCTCATAGTGACCCTATCAGACAGAGTAGAGCTGCCCCACAGATGTATTACCCAGGCAATACATCTTAACAGAAAGAGACTGCTACATCTTTCTCTCCTGGTGTGGCTGATTAGTTTGAACTGCTGGACTTCCGGTTAGCAGCCAAATCCTAACACTAGGTGCCAGTAGGGTGCTGCTTGGGCTCCTTACTCCTGATAATAAACCAAAAACAGAAAGCAAATCCAGTGCTGCAGAGTCCATTTCAACTCACAGTGTCCCTATAGGACAAAGCAGAACTACCTCATAGGGTTTCCAAGGCTGCAATCTTTATGGAAATTCAACTGCCAAATCTTTCTCCCACACAGCAGCTGGTGGGTGCTAGCTTTCAAGTTGCTGTTATTAATTGCCATGGAACAGTTAACAACCCTGTATACGGAGTCCTGGTGTGGTGCTGTGGGTTAATGTGTCAGACTGTAAAGCTGTTTAAACTGTAAGGTTGGCAGTTCAAGCTCACCAGCTGCTCCTCGGAAACCATATACAGGTCCCTATGGGTCGGAACCGACTCTACGGCACTTCACAACAACAACAAATAGGGTTTCCAAGGCCGTACATAATCTTAATAGAAGCAGAAAGCCTCATTTTTCTCTGGAACAGCTGATGGACTCGAACCGACAATCTCACAGTTCACAGCCCAGTGCTTATCCTGTGGTGCTACCATGCTCCCCAACTTTTTGGTTAGCCAGTCCCTATTAAGTTTTTACTGTGTGTCAGGCCTGCTCAAAGCATTTTCTGCACATCATATCCTTCAATCTTTATGTTCTACCCTATCGGATGGCCCCGTTTTACAGATGGGGAGATTGCTGCTTTGCACATCCAGTGTGAGGTGGGGTTGGGATTCTAATACAGGTCTCTCTGGCTTTTTCTTAGCCTTGACACCACATTGCTTCTTGAAGTATTACCTATTCATTTCCACCAACAAAGAACAGCTTTCCACTTATAGCATGCTGTTTGCTCTCCACTTGGGTCACCCCCTCCCTGACATCATCAGTCACCTGCACAGGGTCCTCATTAATGTGAGAGATATGTGGAGCATTTGGCTCCCAGTAGGAGCACAATATATGATGTCATGACTCTTCAGTCTGATAAAGCTGGGTTCTAATCCCAGCTCCTTCTCTGGTTTGTTTTTTTGCTGCTTTGCATTCAACTACTGACCTAAAGGCTGTTGGTTTGAATCCTCCCAGAGGTGCAGTGGGAACAAGACCTGGTGATTTGCTTCCATAAAAGTTACAATCCAGAAAACCCAATGGAACCGTTCTACTGTGTAGCACATAGGGTTGGAATCAATTCCATGGAAACGGGTTGTTGTTTTTTTGAGACACAGAGGGCAATGCTTATCTTAAGAGAATGTGCTGTGGTGGTACCTCTAGCAGTAATCACCCAGGTGCTATCTAGATTTCCCTGTCTGCCCTTTTTGAGGCCTGGAATGGGATGGGGTAGTGCTATATAACCCACTAGACGCCGCACAACGACATAAAAGTGCCCATGAACAGTTGGGGTTGATCACCCTCTTATCCCCCTTGCAGCTGAAGGAGGACCAGCAGAGGGCACTCCTGAGGCGGGAGTTTGAGCTGCAGAGTCTGAGCCTTCAGCGGAGGTTGGAGCAGAAATTCTGGAGCCAGGAGAAGAACATGATGGTGCAGGAGTCCCAGCAGTTCAAGCACAACTTTCTGCTGCTTTTCATGAAGCTCAGGTGGTTCCTCAAGCGCTGGCGGCAGGGCAAGGTCTTGGCCAGCGAAGGAGATGACTTCCTGGAGGTATGATGGGCCTGTAGGATGAGAGGACCACCCCCGTGGTGTTGCCACAGACCTAAGGTTACATATGAGCCATCAGCTTGCAGGTTTCCATCCCCACATTCGTTCACTCATTCACCACTCTCTGTTGGGAACCAGATCTTGGCTGGTCATTGTGGCAGGTGCCAAGGATACCATGGTGAAGAAGACAGACTTGGTCCCTGATTCAACAGGAGCAAGTCTCTGGGAGCTGGTAGGTTTTTAACACCTAATACTTGCTAGTTTCTCTTTTTAACAGATCTCAGAGCCTTAGCAGACAATATTAACTAGAAGAATTTAATAACCTAGCTTTGTTGTTATTGTGCTATATACAGATAAAATATATGTTTATGTTTATTTCACTCTTTTAAGGCATAATTTACATCAAGTGCAAACATACGTGTTGTTATTGTTGTTAAGTGCCTTTGAGTAACCTTACATAGGGTTTCTGAGACTTTAAATCTTTGCAGGAGCAGAAAACTTCATCTTTCTCCTGTGGAGTAGCTGGTGGGCTCAAAACGCAGTCCTTGTGGTTTGCAGGCCAGCACTTACCACATGGAGCCACCACACCTCCATAGTAAGTGTGCAGCTTGGTGAATTTCTATGGTCGTACTGGTAGTTGTGTGCAGTGGAGTCGTTTCTGACCCATAGTGACCCTGGAAAGGATTTCCAAGACTGTAAATCTTTACTGGAGCAGAAACCCTCATCTTTCTTCCATGGAACAACTGGTAGTTTCGAACTGCTGACCTTGTGGCTAGCAGCCTGACTCGTAACCACTACGCTACCAAGAGCTCCCTGATGTGTTTCCATGTTGTTGTTGTTGTTATATACACCATATAACCCCACCAAGATCGTAGTAGCTTACATTTCTAGGGCCCCAGAGGCTCTTGTATCCCTATCTACTAAACACCCATTCTAGCAGTAACTACCATTCTGACGTGAGTCAGTTCTGACTATAGCAAGCCTCTAAAGGGTTTCTGAGAACAGCAAGTGGGTTTGAACCTCTGGCCCTTTGGTGAGCAGTTCACTGCTTATCCTACAACACCACACCAGGACTCTACACCATAGATTAGCTCTGCTTGTTCTAGAACTTCATATATGTGAAGTGGCACTGTAGGATAAGCATTGGACTGGTAACCGCAAGGTTGACAGTTCAAACCCACCAACATGTCTAAGAAACCCTATACAGGGTTGCTATGAATTGGAACTGACTTAGTGGCATTTAACAACAACATACAGTGTGAAGTCTTTTGTGTCTGGCTTCTTTTGCTTAACACAAAACAAAATTTAAATGTATCGCTATTTTGCATGTAGTGATAGATGATTCCATTGTACAAATATACCTCTTTTATTATTTACTTTTAAATAATATTTTACTCTGCTTTGGTGAAAGTTTACAGAGTAGATTAAGTTCTCAGTTGGCAATTTCTACACAAATTGTTCAGCAACATTAGTTCCATTTTTTTCACAGCATGTCAACACTCTCTAATTGTATGCTGGTCATTCCATTTCCAGTACTCTCGTTTCCCTGTCCCCTTAACCTTCTCATCTTTGCTTTAGAGTAATTGTTTATTTTTAATGTTACCTTTGATTTATGGCAAAGGATACTGGCTCAATTTCCCTCTTAAAGTATATTTACTTAGCTGGGGACACTAGGCTGTATTAGTTTCAAAGGCTGCAGTAACAAAGTACCACAAATGGACAAAACAGAATACATGTGTTTACGTAGACAGAAGTAAAAATCTGTATCAGAACTTTGTTCTCTTTGAAGCTCTGAAAGAAGGTCCTTTTATCTCTCTCAGCTTCTGGTAGTCCCAGGTGCTCCTTGGCATGTATGCTTGGCTGTCTTTCCTCTGTCCCTCTGTCTCTTTTCTTCTTTTATGAGAAGTCACTGAAATTGGATTGGAACCCACCTTACTCCAGTTAACGCCTGATGTTCACAGATACCAGGGGTTAGGACTTCAACATTTCTTTATGGGGCACACAATTCAATCCATAACACGGACTGACGTAAAAACCTTAATGATGGTAAAGGTAGTATTTGGAAGTGACAGACACTGTGAAGAGGGGTGTTTTTGGAACGTGTAATACTTGGGAAAGACTCACATGGTCCATTCATCCCACAGTGTGTATAGGAGATTTTGCTGCTTAAAGCTCCTGCCTCTCCTCAGCTACTCTCTGAGAATGATGTCATATTTCAGTCAAACCCACAACAGTTGGCACTGCTCACCTTGGCCTGGACCTTTTGGGTACAAGTTCTTCTAACCATCCTCTGTTGACCTGACCACTCCAGGCCTGTTTCCAGGGCCAGCATGGGCCAGGAGCACATCTCAAGCTCCCAGGTACCCCCGTCAGCACCCGCGAGAGTTGGGATGATGGTTAGACTGAGTCTGTAGCAAGTATGTGTCTACCTCCTGCCAGGGGTCTCAGAGTCCCTTTCACAGAGCCATTTGGAAGATACGGACTATCATTAAATGGATCCATTCTCTGCTGCCCAGAGCACCTTGACACTGAGATGTCATTGTGAGAAGCCACTTGGGAGCCCAGCAGGGGCACTTCTCTGAGCATCAGCCTCTGTGACTTCCTTGGTTTACTTTCTTCCCCATGGCATTTGAAAATATAGGCCCTCCTCTCCTGGTCGGAAGTCCCATTGACCTCTGGCTGTAGCCTACTTTTGGCTGCTCAGGAAGACACTTCTGTAGATCCTCCACAGGCCCCATAGCCTATAAGTCACATTTGCTGAAAATCTCTCTAGAAATTTCCATGTACTGGATTAACAGCAATTTTCTTTATAGAGCCATGTATAGGGAAGTGTGCATTTGCACATACAGACACACGTACTGTAGGAGACAGATGAGTGTAAGCATAGAAAATGAAATAGTACATATGCCTATAACTAGTAGCAATCAAATATTTATCCAAATAGACATAATTAATAAGATGTAAATATAACCACATGTGGACAAATTAAATGAAAACATAATGGAATTATTCCATGAAATTTTTTGAAGTCCTTTCATATGTATATGTGTGTGTGTATATGTATGTATCTATCTCTATCTATCTATCTATCTATCTATCTATCTATCTATCTATCTATCTATATGGTGGTGTTGGTACTTATGTGCTGTGGAGTCTGTTCTGACTTATAGCGACCCTGCACAGGTTTTCTGAGGGTTGGCAGCCCGATTTGAAGCCACAACACTACCACCAGAGTATATATATACATATGGAGAGAGAGACAGAGGGAGAGAGAGAGAGTGAGTCCTGGTGTGGCGCTGTGTGTTAATGCACTAGACTGCAAAGTCGTTTGAACTGCAAGGTCTGTGGTTCAAGCTCACCAGCTGCTCCTTAGAAACTCTATACAGGGTCACTATGGGTCGGAATCAACTTGATGGCAGTTAACAACAAATACATATATGAGAATGATAACTCTCACATATTGAGTGTGTATCATGTTCCAGGCATTGTGCTAAGTATTTTAAGTGAATTATTGCATTTCACTTATATAAATATCCCATTTTGTTAATGTTATTAAGTGCTGTCAAGTTGGTTCCGACTCATGGCAATCCTGTATAGGGTTTCCGAAGAGCTGATGGTGAGTTTGAACCGCCGACCTTGCCATTTAAACTGACCTTGTGGTCCAGTGTTTATCCTACAGTACCATATCGTGACTCCATAAATACCCCATAAGAGGGATATAGTGATTATCCTCATTTCTCTACAGATGTAGATCTGTGATTTCTAATACTCAGTCCTAAAATCCAGAAGTTTTGAAAGCTGATAGAGTTTTGTGTTTTTCAGTAGCCAAATTTTGACCTGACATTAATTTGGTGGTAAAACCTTTATCTGTCCTCTTCATGTTCATATTCCTAAATTTGTAGGGGAAATGCTAATATGCATGAGCATGGGGTGTTACTCTAGCTGCTGGTAGGGATATTGTACAATCTATATATAGTGTGGTGGTGTTCGTACGTGCTGCTGAGTCAGGTCCGACTCATAGCAACCCTGTCTAGGTTTTTCCAAGTCTTCAAAGAAAGCCTCATCTTTCCCCCATGGAGCTGCTGATGGGCTCAATATATGGACCGTGTGGTTCGTAGTCCAGTGCTTATTGTATGGAGCCACCAGTTTTAGGCTGGGCTCTTTAGAGGAGTAAAACCAGTGAAGTATATACAGTGTATACAAGGGAGCTTTAAGTAGTTATGTAGAAATAGAATTAAGAGATAATAGAACCCCCTTCCAAGACTAAGATTCAATGGGAATACACGCTCTGATTGGTGACCACGTTCATCACCAATAAGGGGAAATGAGGGAAAAACAGCAATGAAGCTGCGAGCTAAGCCCTACAACGTTCAATAGACTTGTGAATCTGGGTGGAGACCTGGTCGGCCAGCAGTGTGGCAAGGCCTGGGGACTCTTGGGCCCAGAGTCAGTGACATAGCCACAGAGGACTAGAGTGGAGAGTGAAGCATCCAGCTGATAAGAAGAGAGAGCATATGCACAAGAATACCCACATTTGTTAGATAATCCCCACTTGACCTGGCTTCAATGACTGGATGATCCGAGCTGAACTAGAAGAAGAAAGAAGAGGAAAAGAAGAATAATTTAATAACAGTTTGATGAAGTAGACCTACACCTATGGATGCAGTAGCTCAAAATAGGGAACTGATCTTTACAGTGAGGATCATTCCCACCACCTCCATACACAGAGTAGACAGGGATGGGCAACTTGGACATTGGCTACCCAAAATTGGGGCTACAAAGGCAAGAAGCGACTAGCTTAACAAACTTTCAAGAGGGAACCTAGATCCAGAGGGTACAGCGGAAGGTAGATTCTTCACTGAGTAGTATCCAGTCTGTCTGGGCGGAGCTAATGAAAGGAGATGGCAATAGGTCCCTTGTGGTACAATGGTGAATAATTGTTATCAGGACTGACTGCGATTGTTGGAAATGTAAAGGTGGACATTTTGTAGCAAAAGGAGGGGAGTGATTGACTTTGCAGTCTAGAAGCGGAGGTCCCTGGGACCATCAAGGGAGAAGAGCACAGTGTGAGACCCTACCCAGAGAAGCAGTGATACCAGAGATGGAGGCAGAGAAGATGATGTGGAGAGATGGAGTGGCTGGGGACTCTAGACCCAGAGAGGGAGAGGGGCTGTGTGCTGATGTCCGGGGGCAGGCTTGCAGGGTATACCCTTTGGTTGATTGATGATGTATGGAGGGGATTTGTAACCATGGCAATGAAACGATATAAGATAGGATAAATGTAAAGCTAATGTTCTCCCATGTAAACTTATCACATAATTCACAATAAAACATTAAAAAAAAAAAAAAAAAAAAGATTTTAGCCTAAAAAAAAAAGAAATAATGGAATTTTCCCATGAACTTTTTAAAACTACTTCATGGGAGCCCTGGTGTGACGCTAGAAGATAAGCACTGGGTTCAAGATCGCTTTGAACCACAAGGTCAGTGGCTCAAACTCACCAGCCACTCTGTGAAAACCCTATACAGGGTCACTATGAGTCAGAATCAACAACAACATATATAATTACCTAGAGAGAGATTTACTTTAAGAATATGGATCACACAATTATGGGGGCTGGAAAGTCCCAAATCTCTGGGTCAGGCAGCAAACTGAACCTATTCCCTGATTTGGTACTGATGAACCCAAAATCTGCAGATTGGATGGCATACTGCTGGCTAATAGGGTGGTGGATGCTGGTGAATCCATAATTTGTAGGTCAGGCAGCTGATTGAAGCCTTCTTCAAGAACCAGAGGTGAGACTACAAGGTAAGTGCAGGATCAAGAGAGAACACAAGCTTTGTTAGAACATATATATATATGTATGTATATTGGATGCAGCCCACACCCCTAAATAAATTCCCCTTCCAACTGATTGATTGCTCCTATCAGATCAGAAGGTGAAGGATGAATGCACAATATCTGCCAAACCTTGAGAATTATGACCTTGCCATATCGACATACAACATTAATCATCAAAACACCATATTGTCTTTCTGAATCCTGAAAATTTTAAATTCCCAAATATGCTTGACCCCCAAGGATTTCAGAAAAGAAACTGTGCACCCATATATTGATCATTAAAAACTGTTTAGAAACTTTTGACCAGTGACAAAATTGGGTTGTTTATTCATACAGATCCTGAGTCCCACCCCCCATCCCATCTCACTTACTAACTTCCCATCCTCAGTGAATTCTCTGAACTTGACACCCTTCTTCATTTGGTTTCTAGGACACCATGCTCTCTTGTTTCCTTCCATTGCACTGGTTATCCTTTCCTGTGACCGTTCCTTCCTCATTTTCTCCCTGTCCTGACCTGTTAGCATCAGAATCTAGCCCTCGGCCCTTGGGATCAGAGTCATGCCCTCTGTACTTATATCTACCTCTCTACCTATATTTACTCCCTTGAGGAACTCATCCAGGCTCATGGCTTCAACTGGTCTTCTTGGACTTTAAGTTTCAAATGCATGCCTCCAGCCCAGGCATTTTCCATAAAGCTCAGTTTTGTGTAATCAGCCCTCTGCTTGATGGGGCCACTTGGGTATATAATAGGCTTCTCAAACTTAATATGTCCAAAACCAAATTTCAGATTGCTATTTTATTATAGCAACCCTTGGTACAACAGAATGAAACACTGTCCAGTCTTGTGCTGTCCTCACAATTGTAGTTATGTTTGAGCCCATTGTTACTGCCACTGTGTCAATCCATCTCATTGAGGGTCTTCGTCTTTTTCACTGAATCTCTACTTTACCATTCTAGAGAATGGTCCCTCCTGATGATGTGTCCAAACTATGGGAGATGAAGTCTTACTGTCCTGGCTTCTAAGGAGCATTCTGGCTTCGAACAGATTTGTTTGTTCTTCTAGCAGTCTGTGGTATAGTTACTGTTCTTCACCAACACCATAATTCAAAGACATCAATTCTTCTTTGGTCTTCCTTGTTCATTGTCCAGCTTTAGCATGCATATGAGGCGATTGAAAAATACCATGGCTTGGTTCAGGCACAGCTTCATCTTCAAAGTAACATCTTTGCTTTTTAACACTTCCAAGTGTTAAATTTAGCAGAAGATTTGTCCATGCAGTATGGCCTATGGTTAATGACAATGACTTCTTGTCCACTTTAGCAGCAGATTTGTCCCATGCAGTATGACCTACAGTTAATGACAATGACTTCTTGTTCAGGCCAAAAACCTTAGAGGCATTCTCAACTCTTCTTTCCTCTTTTTCTCCTCTTACTTCACTACCATTTGTCAGCAAGTCCGGACAGCTCTGCTTCCAGAATCTATATATGTGGAATCTAATCGAGCTCTAATTCTCCCACTGCCCCATGATACAAATCACTATTACCTCTTGCCTGCATTGTTGTCCTAGCCGCTTAAGTGGTCCCTCTGCTTCTGCCCTCACCTCAAGTACTGCTTGTAACAGTCCAGAGGGAGCCATGCAAATGGAGTTTTGTGATTGGTGCTCTATTGCTGCCCTATAATATATCTCAACACAGCAGCTAGAGTGATCTTATACAAGTAAAGTTTGATCACTTCACTGTTAGCCCTCCCCTGGCTCCCATTTCACTCCAAGTAAAAGCTGAAATCCTAGTCCACCTGTCTTTGTTCCCTAGACCTCTCTCACTTCCTACCTGGTTCCTCAAACTGCATGCTCCCTCCACTGGGCTTTTGCATTTGCTGTGTCCTTTTCCTGGAATTCTCTTCCTCTAGATCTGCACATGCTGATTCATTTGCTTACCTCCTTCAGACTTTGCCCAAATATCCCCTACTCCATAAGGCCTTTCTGGACCATCTGCACTCAGTGTACCCTAGCTCCTTTCTCTGCTCTGTTCTGCATAACACCAGTCACTAAATGACATTCATTATATTTAGATGACATGTCATACATTTCATGTATTTATTTGTTTGTCTCCCTGCTACTGGAATGTAAGGCTGAAGAGGGCCTGGATTTTTGTCTGTCTTGCTCACCGGTGTATCCCCAGCTCCTAACACAGGGCCTGGCATATGGTAGGTTTTTAATAAATATTTGGTGAATGAATGATTGAATAATGAATGAACACCCCTCTCAGCAGGTGGCTTTTGTACACTTTGTTCTCACCCTAAGCTGATAACCTGGTCTCCTTGGCTATCCTTGGGCACTGCCCAGAGTCATTCAACAACAAATCCTCTCTCCCCATTGGAGTCCCTGTGCCCACCCAAACCTTTGTTGCCCTTGCCATTGTAAGGAGCACCTGTGGCCCTTTTATTCCAACCACAGAGCTTACCTTGACCAGCCTGTCAGTGTGGTTATTTCTCAATGCTCAGGGATGGCTCCTGATCCTTGGGCAGAGGAGATGATGTAGGATGCTAGGGGGCCCTATCTGTCCAGCTGTGCTCCTTGGCCTAGTTGGTACTAAGAGTGAAATGATCAAGTTAAGATTTGGGAAATCCTTGCCAAGTTGGGGTATCCTTGGTCGATCCTGAACCATAAAACCCCCATTCTTCCTTCCTCCCTGACTATGCTGGCAGCCCCCTTTCTATCTGGGTCCCTAGCCAGAGGCCCCTCGCCCTAAGGGTTGGGACGGAAGACATTACATCCTCCAACCTTGTTCTGAGTGTATTGTTTGTTTTAATAGGTGAATAGCATGAAGGAGCTCTACCTGTTGATGGAGGAAGAGGAGTTAAATGCCCAACATTCTGATAACAAGACCTGCACGGGGGACAGCTGGACCCAGAACACGGTGTGTTCTCAGCCCATTCCCTGTTCCATCCTGTCCATTTATTAGTGACTACATCCTGCTGCCTTCTCTGACCTATTGTGAGGCTGGAGCAGCAGAAGGTTATGTCTGGTCCTCAGATGTTCAGTGGGGGTATGTAAGTCATCCCAGGACAGTGACAGAGGCCCAACCAGATGAAATCCCAGGTGAGAGGGCAATTCATTCTGTTTAGAAGACAGTGTCACAGAAGGCATCATAGGAAGTGGGTTTTGAAGGATAAATAAGAGCTTTCTTCTTTTATTTTTTTAATTGTGAATTGACTGAAGGTTTGCAGAGCAGATCATCAGTTTTATATTCAACAAATCATATACTTCGTTTCATTACATGGTTACAATCCCCTCCACACACCAACAGTTATCAGCATTTACCTCTATTTACTTTAACCACTGTATTCCTCCTTGTGAATAAGAGCTTTCTTGATAGAGAACAGGGAAGGCCATTCTGGGCTAAGAGAACTGTATGTAAAGAGGTGTCACAAGGTATTCTGGGGTTGGTGAGGGCTTGTGATATACCAGAAGGGTTTGGGACAGACACTCGGCTGGGCAATATGGAGAAGGGTCTTATGGTTTGGGTTTCAGGAATTCTCAAATCAAGCCATGGAGCAGAGGGACAGTGGGGTCAGGCTCCCAGGGCAGACAGTGAGCAGCAGGTATGGGTGGGAGGCAAGGTTAGGAAAAGAAGATTTGGGACTCTGTCAGACACAGTTGGGGAGCTTCCTGGTTCAGGCTCCCCATCTGGTCTGCAGTGAGTCAGAGAGACAGACCCTGGTCGGGAGAACAATCCAAGGCTTTTCTCAGAGTTAGGCTCAGTGATGGTTACTATAACTACAGATATTTTTGTTGATGTGAGACTGAAACACATGCTGGCATAGGAGGTGACCAGGGCTATGCCATGCTCATGTCTCTGGGTGAGATGACCCAGAGAAATCTTGGGCCTTTCCCAAGGCCTAGTTGGTCCCTTGCTAGACTCCTAGGAAAGTGCTGTGAGACCCAGGCTCCTGTCCCTGCCCCTTTGAAAGCTCCTGACCCATGTCTTGCCCATGTCTACAGCCCAATGAGTACGTCAAGACACTGGCTGATATGAAGGTGACACTGAAGGAGCTGTGCTGGTTGCTCCGGGATGAGCGCCGGGGTCTGACTGAACTTCAGCAGCAGTTTGCCAAGGCCAAGGCCACGTGGGAGACAGAGCGGGCTGAGCTCAAGGGCCACAATGCCCAGGTGAGCTTGCCCCCAACTCAGCCATACCCCCAACTGTGCTGTGGAGCTGGTTCCAACTCATAGCTACCCTGTATAGGGTTTCCAAGGAACAGCTAGTGGGTTTGAATCACCAATCATGTGGTTAGCAATCCAGAGCTTATCAAGCAGGACCGTACCAAAATTCCTAAGTCCAGGAGATGTAGAATGCCCCTTACTTCATCTTGTGACCCAGAGAGGACAAGGGATTTGTGACCCAGAGAGGCAAGGGTGCCAGAAACAGTCACTGGGCCAGGGAAACAAGGAGGGGACTAGCACAGGGGTGTGGGGGTACTTCTGCCCTACCTGAGGCTCACAGTGGGGCAGGTGCTTAAACGCCTTACATATGCCTGGTAATATCCTTCACTCACATAGCCGGACTCCTGTTGTCTGCTGGCCTTGTTCACTCCTGTCTCTCCTCATCAGGATAACTTTTTCTTCCCTGCTACCTGGCTCTGTTTCCTCCTGCCCAACAACTGAGCATTGGGACTTTGGTCTCTACTGTGTGCCAGGAACAGATTGCTGCCCCTCTGTGGTCTGAAAAATGACAAGAGTGGGTGTCTTCCTATTCAGACACAGTACTCTGGCCCCCAATTCTGCAAGACTGGGCCCCAGCTTCCTCTAGCCTACCCCTGCTGCAGGCTGTCTCCCAAGGCTTCACTGGTCTACGGGAAGTGGGTATCTGATTATCTCTGCTGGGTAAGAGACAAAGCAGGCTTATAGACCTGTTTAGTTTCTTTTCCAAGGGCACTAAGTGACCCTCACTCTCCAAACTCCTATCCCTCGTGCTCCCCATGACCATGATTTTTGTCTTCCAATTCTCACAGAGTCTGGCTTTTAGGAGCTACAGTTATCTCTCTCTAAACACAATTCACAAGCGATGAGGTGTAGGGATAGAATCTCCTTCAGGTATAGCTTGATCCAGGTGCTCAGAGTTTGCTATAGGGACTAAATTACTGTCTCTCTGATCTTATGGCTCCTGTCCATGTGTACATCTCCCAGTGCCCACTGCTTCTGCTGACCCCTTAAAACAGCCATTCCAGGTGCCCCTCACCCCTGGGAACCAGACTGGCCCCTTGGATTAACATCTCAGGTCATAGCCCAAGATTATGGGGTACACTGATTTATGAGGGAAAGAGGAAAGCAGAGAGGAGGGTCTTCCTGGTATTAGTCAGCCAGTTTGCTCTTCTTCTACAGATGGAGCTGAAAGCAGGGAAGGGGGCCGGGGAGAGGTCAGGGCCAGACTGGAAGGCAGCCCTGCAGAGGGAGCGTGAGGAGCAGCAACACCTCCTGGCTGAGTCCTACAGTGCCGTCATGGAGCTGACACGGCAGCTGCAGATCAGCGAGCGCAACTGGAGCCAGGAGAAGCTTCAGCTGGTGGAGCGGCTACAGGGTGAGAAGCAGCAGCTGGAGCAGCAGGTGAAGGAGCTGCAGAACCGCCTGAGCCAGGTGAGGCCTGCGCGAGCCCAAGCTGACAGAAGCCACAGGGGAAGTCACTATAAGAAAAGTCCGTGGGTAATGTCTCCCTCAGGTATAGCTGGATCCAGGTGTCCAGACAGTGAGGTCCCGGGACAAGATCTCCTCCAACTATAGCTAGATCCAGGTGCTAAAGCAATGGGGTACAAGGATAGAAGTTCCGTCAGGTGTAGCTTGATCCTGGTGTCCAGAGTTTACAATAGGGAATAAATCTTTTTCTCTCTTTAGGTGTGTTTTTTCCTCTTTGCTATATTTCCTTGTAAGCAAGACATTCTCAAAGGTGGTTGTTGTTAAGTGCTGTCAAGTCGGTTGTGACTCATAGCAACCCAGTATAGGGTTTCCAAGGTGGATTTGAACTGCTGACATTGTGGTTCGCAGTCCATTGCTGATCCTACAGTGCCACACCAAGAGTCCTTCTCAAAGATGTTGTTGTTAAGTGCCCTCGAGTCGGTTCTGACCCATACCGATCCTGTATAGGGTTTCTAAGGAGCAGCTGGTGAGCTTGAACTGCCAACCTTGCAGTTCAAACGGCTTTGCAGTCTGGCGCATTAACCTACAGTGCCACACCAGGACTCCTTCTCAAAGATAGCCACTGCTAATTTCTTATTTATATCCTTATAGGTTAGTAAATGCAGTAGAGAGAGTTTCTCTTTTCCAGAAAACTGATTGGCCCGGACTGAGTCTTGTGTGTTGGCAATGTAGTCCACCAAAATCCAGGAACCAAGAGTGTGGTTCCCTAACGGACAATTGGAATCTTCTAGCCAAAAGAGGGGAAAAAGGAAAGATCATCATTAGACCATTACACCCACACTAGACTTGACACCATTTGCCCAACGTGATCCTCCCGAGCAATCGATGGGACCAGGCCACCAAACATAGGCTCTGCTCTACTACCGACACGATCTTTGCAGCTCACTTAGCTGCCCCACTTCTGTCATCAGAGAAAAGGCACTTATAACAGTAACACCTACCTTGTTGAAGGTTCTGTGAAGATGAAATTAACTAATGTGTGAATAGCAATAGGCTCCATCACACACCACCTGGAGGGGAGGCTCAGGGACCAGCTCAAGGCTCAGCCAGAAAGAGAATGGTATGCTGATCGAATACAGGACTGTGTGGGTCCTGTATCTGCCATGCAGATGTGACGTGGATGCCACTTCACTGATAGAACTGTTCCATGAATGGTGGCATTAATTAATATATAACAACTGTTTCTACTGTAGACATGATGGCATCTATTACCATGCCTGTTTGAAGGAGCCCTAGGGCACAGTGCACTAAGTGTTTGGACTGCTAACTGGAAGGCTGACTGTTGGAACCCACATGGAAGAAAGATGAGGCTGTCTGCTCCCATAAAGCTTTACAGCCTTGGAAACCCAAGGGAGCAGTTCCACCCTGTCCTATAGGCTTGCTATGAATTGAAATCCACTCGATGGCAGTGGGCCTGGCAGTGAGTAGTGCTTGCTTCACTATCAGTCTCCAACTATGTCCCCACCTTGTGGGTCGCTGGAAACTGTTGTCCACTTGAGCAGATGGCTCCTGATCTATGATCTGGGTCCTCTCACAGGCTGCAGAGAGGAGCTGGGGAGCAGCCTGCCCAGGGTGGAACTCTTTTCACTAGACGCACACACACACTCTGACCCTTCCTCTTTGCCCTTGTCTAGTTGCAGAAGGCTGCCGACCCCTGGGTCCTAAAACACTCAGACCTGGAAAAGCAGGACAACAGCTGGGAAGAGGTGAGCGGCTCCTGTCTGTACCGAAAAATCTCCTGCTTATGGGGCATAGCACAGGAAGATGCTGATTTCACCCCACAGGTCACACCTTTGTACCTTGAGCTCCTCCTCAACCCTGGGTTCTTTACTTCACGGTTCCTGCGTATGGTTTTGGAACCATAGAGAGTCCTCTCCATGCCTGGGAGGAGACTGGGTGTCTCTTTGTAGCCTCAACTAGTTCCTTCGCCCTTGCTTTCAGTGTGTGCTTGTCTGAAAATCCAGGCCTCCAAACAGCTGTGTGGTCTTGAGAAACCACTTTATTTTTCTAGGCCCCAGTTGCCTCATTTTCAAAATGAGAAACATGTTTTCTGCTGTGGCCCAGCCCTGGTTATGGACTTCAGTGAGGTCGATACAGCAACACGCAGACTTACAAGACTGAACACACAGCTCCTTGCTACTGAAGAAGCGGCACTGCCATCAGAGGACTTGTTTGCAAGAAACAAAAACTGTTTCTGGGGAGCTGAGACAGGAGAGGGCTGTACTGAGGTCGAGATGGGGCTGCCGATGCAGTTTCAGGAAATGGGCACAGTTCCAGGGGGTTGTGCCTCTGGAACCAAGGTGAAACAAGCTCCTGAGCAGTTGCTAGGTCACTTCTGTCCCCAGCAACTGAGCCGCTGGTTCTGGATGCTTTGTTGCTGCCACCACTCTCAGAATAAGTTATAAACAGACTCTCCTTCTTGGAGTTCCAAGTGGCTGAACTTAGAACACATACCCACAGCTTCACTGCCAGGGACAAAAACAAACAAATAACAAGGGGAGGGGACTGGACACAGTATAGCCAAAACTGACTAATAAGTTTTCCAGATCATTGTCGTCAGCACTCCTTTTCTACAGATGGGGAGACTGAGGTGTGAAGGGAAGCGACTTGCCCTGGGTCAGCTCGCACACCTCTCTTCTTCCTCTGGGGCTCTGTAGGCAGAACTGACCTTCTTGTCTCTTCCCTGACAGACGCACAGTGAGAAGATTCATGACAAGGAGGCTGTTTCTGAAGCTGAGATTGGTGGAACCGGCTTGAAGAGGTGCTGGCATCCCTCCCCAACTTTTTCCTCTCTCCTCCCACAGCCCTATGTGCCCACCACTGCACCTCAGCAGAACTGGGAGAGCAACAGGTTTCTGTAGAACCCAAGCCACCCAGGAGCTGGGAAGCTAGGAGTGACCAGAATTCCAACCTGCAATTTGTTTGATTGATCCTGGGCATGGGAAACAGGGGCCCTAGCATATCCTTAAAGGAGCCCTGGTGGTGCTTTAGGATAAGCACTGGACTGCTAACTGCAAGCTTAGCAGTTCAAACCCACCAGCTATTCCATGGGAAAACGATGAGGCAATCTCAGAAACCCTATACAGGGTCTCTATGAGTCATAGTAGACACAATGGCAGTGGGTTAGAGTTTGAGAGCATCTTGTAGCTGAGAGAGAAACTGAGTCTCCATCTGGCCTCTTAAGATTTTTTTCTTCCTGTCTCTGGATCTGGAAGAGTCAAATGGGCATCCATTCTTGGTATTAGTGAGCAGCATCCTTTGGAACCAGCCCTGGGCCGTGACCAAGGGGGACACTCAAGGCTTAAGGACCATGTCTCCACCAATGGGAAGCCCATGAAAGGAGTGAGGGAAGAAAAACACCTGGGCTGTAGCGCACAACAGCTCCTGGAGTTAGGAGTTTGGAGGGTGAGCTCTGAAGTCCAGAGCGCTGGGTCAGAATTCCAGCTCTGATGTTTCTAACTTAGTGGCTTTGGGCCAATATTCCCCTCTCTGCTTACCTGAAAAGTAGAGTTAATAGGAGCTGCCTTCTGGAGTCTCTTGAGGACCCTGTGGTACAACATGTGAGAGGCATTTACAGGGGCCTAGCACTTCCTGTGAGGAGTCCTGATGGCAAAGTGGGTTGCACATTGGGCTGCTAATCACGAGTTCAGTCGTTCAAACCCACCAACTACTCCAAAGCTGTCTGCTCCCATGAAGAGCTCCAGCGCTGGAAACTCTATGGAATAATTCTGCTGTCAGAATAGGGTCACTATGAGTTGGGATTGACCTGATGGCAGTGGGTTTGGGGAACTTTTTGTTTGTTTTTTTCCTTCAGCTTGGCATTTCCGTCAGCTGACGACAACACAGGAACCAGGCAGTCCATGTCATGGATCTGATGGCATGTTAGTTTGGGCTTCCTCCAAAGCAAACCCTGACACAAGAATTTCAGTGTAAATGTTTGATTTGGGAGAGAATTCCAGGAAACACCTAGAAGTGAGGGAAGTGAGACAGGGAATAAAGGAGTGTTAGCAAGCAGGTGATATCTTGGGCAACTGGTGCTCAGTCTCGTTGAGGAACTCTGGGAGCCAACGGAGTAATCCCACTTAAGGAACCAGGAGTCAGGGGTATTTATCCACCAAATCACCATGTGTTGTTTGATGAGGACTGGGTCAAGAAGCATGAACTCTGATATTTCCAGTTTCTTTGTATGGTGGGTAAGTATGTTCCCTCAGGTGTGTACCTTCTGCAGTTTTGGGTGTGTATTGTGAGTGCGGAGAGGACATGAGGCTGGCCACCAATAGCATCTTCTATAAGAAATGAGCAAGACAGCCTTGGTCCCTGCCCTCCTGAAGCAAATGGTCCCGAAAGGTGGACCATAGTATGCGCTCGGTGTGAGTTGTCTTCCACTAACGCTAAGTTTCCTCTTTTGCTCCTCCCAGGACCAAATCTGTTTCCTCAATGTCTGAATTTGAGAGTTTGCTTGACTGTTCCCCATACCTTGCTGGTGAAGCCACCCTGGGCAAGAAACTATCCAACAACCCTGCCTTTGCTTTTGTGAGTCCCGAGTCGGTGGACCCAGTGAAGGACATCAAGGAAAAGCCTGGGCTTTCACAGCGGGAATGCAGCCACCTGGGTGCGCTGGCCTGCCACAACCCCGCAGGGAGACAGATGCAACGCAGCTACACGGCTCCTGACAAGACAGGCATCCGCGTCTACTATAGCCCTCCCCTTGCCCGGCGCCTGGGTGTCCCTGTGGTCCATGATAAGGAGGGCAAGATCATCATCGAGCCTGGCTTCCTCTTCACCACAGCCAAGCCCAAAGAGTCAGCGGAGGCAGATGGGCTGGCTGAGAGCTCATATGGTCGGTGGCTTTGCAACTTCTCCCGACAGCGCCTGGATGGCAGTTCAGGTAACAACCCCTCAGTGGCCGGGCCTGGCTTTCCAGCGGCCCTGCATGACTTTGAAATGTCAGGCAACATGAGCGACGACATGAAGGAGATCACCAACTGCGTGCGCCAAGCCATGCGCTCAGGCTCACTGGGGAGGAAAGTAAAGAGCACGTCCAGCCAAACTGTGGGCCTGGCCAGTGTGGGCACGCAGACCATCCGCACAGTTAGTGTAGGCCTTCAGACGGACCCACCCCGCAGCAGCCTCCATGGCAAGAGCTGGTCACCCCGCAGTTCCTCACTTGTCTCGGTGCGCAGTAAGCAGATCTCTTCTTCCCTGGACAAGGTCCATTCTCGCATCGAACGACCATGCTGCTCACCCAAGTATGGCTCGCCAAAGCTCCAGAGACGGTCAGTGTCCAAGCTGGACAGCACCAAGGACCGTAGCCTGTGGAACTTGCACCAAGGCAAGCAGAACGGCTCGGCCTGGGCTCGCTCCACCACCACGCGGGATAGTCCAGTCTTGAGGAACATTAATGATGGACTGTCTAGCCTCTTCAGTGTGGTAGAGCACTCGGGAAGCACAGAGTCTGTCTGGAAACTTGGCATGTCCGAGGCCCGGGCCAAGCCCGAACCTCCCAAGTATGGTATTGTGCAAGAGTTCTTCCGCAGTGTGTGTGGCCGAGCACCAAGCCCCACCTCTGCAGCAGGCGAGGAGAGCACCAAGAAGCTTGAGCCCCTCTCTCCGGCCAGCTACCATCAGCCAGAGGGCGTCACCAGGATCCTGAACAAGAAGACAGTGAAATCAGGCAGCATTGAGGAGGCTAGGCCCACTGTGCTCCCCCAGCTGGGGAAGGATGCTCTCCTCCGAGATGGAGATGGAGCCATAGTCCTTCCCAATGAGGTAAGTGGGTGGGATCTACCCTTTCTCTTAGAAGTGGTGCTGGCTTATAAAATCCAAGCTCTTTGGGTTGTTAGACATGGAGAATGTGGCTATATGTCTTAAAACATTCTTATGCGAGGGGAATATCTTCCAGGCACTTTGCTAAAGAGTCATTATCTCTCCTCCACTCCTAGTTTCTTCAGAGGCTCTTGTTAATCATATCTGTGAGTTAATGGACCAGAGCCTGCTTTGGGCTTTATTTTGCTTTCTGAACACTCTACTCTTTCAACTAAATCCTCTTGGGATTTGAATTTTGTAGGATTATTGGCAGATGTCCGAAATTCTTCTGCTTTAAACAGCATGCTTTAAAACTGTTTTCATGATGTGCTATAATTGACTCATACCAGCACATGAGTACACATCTCTTCGCAGCCCCACTTTCTGAGCCAGGACATTGGAAGCTTGCAGTCAGCCATAGTAGAAGTATTTACATCACGGATATTGGCATATGCTATAAATCGGGTTGGTTTTGTTTTGTTTTTGGAGAACTAACTGTTGTAAACCAAAATAAAGCTGCATAAATATATATATATCTGGTCTGGGATGAGGGTTGAAAAGGCTCAGATATGGAATGACACAGATCTGGTGGACACATGGTCTGAATACCAGGAAGCTCGTGAACGTGGCTTAGCCACCTGCTTTGCCAGAGGTTGTCAGCATCCCATCTGGCTCACTGCTCTCCTGCCACCCAGTGGGGTGCTGGAGCCAATTGTGCACACCTCTGTGTTTAGTAATATTACCCGGGTAGCATGAAGTCAGCTCCAGAGGGAGGATTTCCACCATGAAAAGTGGTGACCACTACAAATCAGGCTCCTTGACATTCTATAGGAAGTGAGATGTTAAACATTTATCAGCACAATACTATCCCTACCCCACCAGGACTCCACACTAGTCCTCACATTTTCTCTCAGACTTTTGCTGCACACCTCGCTCCTGAGTATATCCTGATATACTCCTGATTTAGTCAGGCATCATTTGCACTTTACCTAAGTTAGGTTTGCTGAAGGGAAATTATCTCGGAAGGATGTTGAACGAGCTCATGGAACCCAAGAGCAGGGACCCAAAAGGCCTACAGCAGCTTCTTTCTTTTTCTTGAGCTTTATTTTCACTGATGTCTTCTTACTACTGTATTTGCATGTGGTTTAGCTGGGCTGTGCCAGCTCTGGTTTTGGAACACTTTTCAATTCAAGCGCCTCACAAAAATAGACTTACATCCTTCTGTCCCAGTTCCACAGTTCTAGAAGAAGGAAACTCTGATTAGTTCAGCTAGCTTGAATTGGGTGTAACCCTTGGTCCAGTGAGCTGTGGCCAGGAGTGGTATCATGTGGTCTACCATGCATTCAGTATGAGTTATAGTTCGGGGCTCAGAAAAGTCAGAAGGGCTGTGGTTGACCCATCAAGTTCATTTCCTTTATTGTGTGTTTTTGTGTGTTTCAATCACCTCATATGTATGTGAAAGTTGGACAATGAATATGGAAGACTGTAGAAGAATTGATGAAGAATATTGAAAGTATCATGGACTACTAGAAGAACCAACAAATCTGTCTTGGAAGAAGTACAGCCAGAATGCTCCTTGTAAGTGAAGATAGTGAGACTTCAACTCTCATTCTCTGGACATGTTTTAAGGAAGGACCAGTCCTTGAAGCTTGGTAAAGTGGAGGGCCAACAACAAAGAGGACCTGATTGACACAGTGACAGTAGTGGTGGGCTCAAACATAATAGTTGTGAGGTTGGCGCAGGACCAAGCAGTGTTTCTGTTGTGTATAGGATTGCTGAGTAGCAGCTGACTCGATAGCACTTAACAACAAGGTGGTTTCTAGTTTTTTCTATTATAAATAGAATGCTGTGGTGAATATCTTGCTGCAAGAACACTGCTCCATATTTCCTTTGATTTCCTTAGGCTAGAGTTTCAGAAATGCAATTATAGGCTAAAAGTGTATGAATGTTTTTAAGGTATTTGGTAAATGTTGCCAAGGATCTGACGGCATTTAAAAAAAAAAAAGTTTTAAATGTTTATTTTTATTTAAAAAATTTTTTAACTAAAAAAAAAATTCAAGTTTAATATTTCTTGATATAGTTTGTCTTGACTATATAAATATAGTTTATTTAAGTTTCAAGTCTGTTTGGAATCTTGGAGCTCCTTCCCCACATCCTGAGCATATTTTAAGCATACAGCTCACAGAGATTTTACAAACTGCTCTTACATCAAGAAGCAACAGTAGAGAGCTGGCTGTATTTTATTGTTTTTAAAGTTGATGCAGATATGTCTCAGTGTGTAAACGGTGAGTGTCATACATAACCACTGGTCTGCAAACCCCTAGGTTGGCAGTTTTAGCCCATGGGTCACTCCACAAGAGAACGATGAGGCTTTCCTCTGTCACAAAGATTTCAAGCCTCAGAAACCCTCTACAGGGTCACTATGAGTCAGAATCAACTTGATGGCACTTAACAACCACAAAAGTTGTATGTTACCTGTTGACACAGTAGTGTTCCTTCTACAGAGGTGGAAAAAGATACTTATATTTTTAAAAAATTGTATTACTAATAAAAATTGCTAACATTTATTGAGTGCTTAATGCTTTACACGCCACATCCGATTTGACCCTCTCAACAACTTTGAAGAAAGTTTCATGGCCTTCATTTTTTTTTTTTTTACTGAGTATTTCTTTCTTTTCTTTTCATTCTTTCTTTCTTTCTTTCTTTTTAAGGTTTTTATTGTGGATTGAATGAAAGTTTACAGGGAACATCATCAGTTTCACATTCAACAA